GGTTCTGCCCTGCCACCACTAGAATGTGTGGTTTTAGGGAGGCTGAGTGGTTAGACCCAGGAGCCTTCACTTCAAAGACCAATGGCCTGATTTTCAGAGAGAGCTGATCTCCACCTTTACTGTGCCTCTGTGAAATCTATATAAAAACATTATAAATACTTTCTGGCACACAGTTAACTCAACACAGTGGCTGTATCCCCTTGTACTGCTATCCCTTTCTCTGAGGGAGGTTAGTCTCCATGGAAGGTTGCCTTCTAACAGCTGGACTCATGTTGTCTGGGGACATCAATTAAACTAGAGACCAGGCTTGTGACTGGGAGTGACACTGTCAATTGTGCCACCTAAGCAGAAGCTCATGTTTCCACCTATATGGCTGTCAGCAGTGCCACCTGAGCAGAAGTTTAGCTGTGCCCCAGACAGCATAATCCCGTCCAAGCTTGTGATCTCCATTGGCCACTGTGAGCGTGGGGTGATACTCCTGCCATAGCTGCAGGATGAGCTATGAAGCTTTTCCCCAGACGAGAATATTGAACCTGCAGTACGGAAGGAGCTCAGCTCCAACCCTGCTAAACCTCACTTTCCTGGGAGAGTGTAAAGCCGCAGAGTACAGAAGCAGCAGTAGCAGAGATTAGAATTCATAAGTACAATAGTTGGATGTGGATTTAAGAATGACTGTGCTTAGTACAGGGAGTGCTAAACAATGTAAATACGTAACAAAAGAAAAACTGCTAACCTATAGAGCAGTGCCAGCACAGATGAATCTGAGATCTTCCACCAAATAAGTAAGGAAAACACATCAGTTAGTAGTGGAGGGGTTTGGGCAGATTAGGCCACAGTGACATGCTTGGTGGATATGTCCAACAGGCTGGAGTGAAGGAACACAGTCACCTAGATATCAAAGTATTTGGTGCATTAAAATTAAGAATTTCATGGAACACAGTCTTCTAGTCAGAGTGCCTGATACCTTTCTAAAACAGAAGTGAGACAAGGCCGGGTATGGATTTGACTTTCAGAAGATTGGAAAGATCCAACTTATATGATCCAAAGATATCACACTTGGGGAATGCACTTATTTAGCTGCCAATCATATAGGTGCAAAATGCTGGAAAACTTCTTTAAATTATTGGAGTAAATTCACATGCCACTCTCAATGGAACAGATGGCATATTCCAAGAAACCTAGGCCTATTCTCTAATTCTGTGCTGCCAGTATGGAATAGAAGATACTCTAAGGTGGAAAAGAAAACTTACACGGTAAGAGAAAAATCTCCAAAGCTGGTTTACAAGGGCTGAACTCAATGTAATCAATTAATTGTCCAAACATGCAATCTGACTGGAGCTTTTTTATAACATTACATCCATCATACCAAAATACAGAAACAACATTCACTTGACCTCTGCTTAATGGCAGTAAAACATCTACATCCCTGGTACTCCTGTGCCCTGTAAGATACCAGCTACATCAAAGCACATCATACACCCAAGAGAGTCGAGCTTTGGCAGGAGTGCTGTGTATACTGAGCATATTTTCATATCTAGCTATTTACACAGGGATTTGCAAGACACTAACATTCTCTTGAAAAATATCCAGATATGTTCACTGTCCAACAGACACACAGATTCATACAACAGTTTCCACATTCAGAGGTGGTGTTGCTGCTTCTACCCCAGTGAGAGATTGTGGGGCCACATTTTCTATTCCAGACTGAACAGACTCTTATACCTACATTCACAGCTCATAAAGCTTTTGTCTTATTGCAGAATGATGTGAGTGGAGAGGCATTAACAACATGATTGTTTTCCCCATTATCTTAAAATCACAACTATGATAGAAGTGTCATCCTACTACTTAACGTCTCACATGCCACAACATCTATTGGGGATTAACTCCACCCTTCTCCCCAATAGTAACCACACTGACTGCCCACGCTGAGACGTGGCCTATATTGCACATCCTGCTCTTATTCTCAGAACGAAATAATACTTAGTTCTTATATAGTGGTTTTCATCAACAGATCTCAACGCGCTTCACAATCTTTTAATGTAGTAAAGTCTGATATGAAGGAATAAACAGCTCATTAGTCAAACGCTGAATGAGGGCCCAATCTGCTAAGGGCTGAACATCCTCAACTTTAAAGGACTTCCACTGGAGTTGAAGGCATTCACCACAGAACAGGATCAGGTTGCCATGCCTCATTGATTCAAAATGCCTTTGGACAAAGTGCCTGAGACTTAAAGTTTGATCAGTGGTCTACAAAATAGCTAGCTATTCCATTCATTTTGCTTTTCTTCTATTTCAGGAGTTATGCTAATGATTAACGAGTAAAAATCACACCCTCTGATCACTGCACTTAAATATTTCCTCTATTAGTTGGAATTAATAACTGTATACAGCTCAGTAAACAAACTTTACCTGTTCTTCAAAAGGTGAACACTTTCTGATCACACCTACTGTAACAGATTCAGTCCTAGTTGATGGCAGTACCCTTACCCACAGATTGAACTGCATCTCTGCTTTCATGGCATATAGTGACTTCTAGGATGAAGGGAAAACACACTGGGCATAACCTGAAAAGGTACGGTTGTAAAATAAATTGTTCATTGCACAGGAAGAACAGGCACAAAGGACACAGATCACACGCGAAACTTGCCCTGGATAATATAGTGTAAGCAATGTAAGAAGCTTCAGCTGACAAAGTGGGGGTGATCGTAATCAAAGCTTATGGTGTAGAAGTCATAGGGACCCCAGAACAGACTGTGGAGACTATAAATGACTCCAAGTAGATTTATTTTTATTCTCCACTCTAGTCAATCTATTCCCCTGGCACAGGAGGAACCACTTTGGTTATAGGTGCTGATATGAGGAGTCTACAGGGCATCAGAACTTTAGTCTGTTTAAAATTTTTATTCAGAGCTGTCATAGCCATGTTGGTCCCAGGATATGAGCGAGACAAGGTGGGAGGGGTAATACCTTCTGTTGGACCATCTTTTGTTGGTGAGAGAAACTGAAGATAAGACCCGAAGATCTCTGTGGAGCTTGAAAGCTGCTTCTCACTGACAGAAGCTGGTCCAGTAAAAGATACTACCTCACCTACTTTGTGTCTCAGCTTTTTTATGGAGTTGAATGTGCCTAGGCCCCAATTCAGGAATGCATTTAGGCACCACGTGCTTGAGTGCTTTCATGAAGAGTGATGTTTTCCTGAAGTGGGACTACACTGCATATATCCCAACAGCACTTGCTTAGCTGAAGGAACAACAGTACTGCATACACTTCACTTCAGTCAAGCTGTCACCAGACCTGACTGATAGTTTCATCTGTTTAAAGGGGTGTGCATTTCCCTTGAAAGAAAAGCTGCACTCACTTGTGCTAATGGATTTTTACCCCCTTCTATTTGGAAAACAAATTGGGCAGATACTTCTTCTCTGGTTTGAATTTTTACCCTTAAATTCTAGACCAAGCTTGGAAATCCCATTTCATGCCAGGAAAATGCTGGGTGTGTGCAGGGCAACTACAGTTCTGGGAGGTAATTAACATTGGTAACATCTGTATAACATTAGCACAAGGAGGCCAAAATTCTCATCTGCCTACTACTACAAGTTCTGATATTATTTTTCAGTGTAACAGATTTATTTGGGCCTAAGCTTTCCTGGGTAAAAAAACCCCACTTCTTCAGATGCATGGAGTGAAAATTCTGTAATTTTCACTCCATGAATCTGAAGAAGTGGGTTTTTTACCCAGGAAAGCTTAGGCCCAAATAAATCTGTTAGTCTTTAAGGTGCCACCGAGCTCCTCATTGTTTTTGTGGATACAGACTAACACGGCTACCTCCCTGATGCTGAAAAGTAATAAGAGGTCATGTGACCCAAAAGGAGCCGCTGCTAAGGATAACTGAACAGCTGAGCTTTCAAAAGGGCATGGCTGGGTGGAAATACATTTAAAACAATATATACAAGACAGCAGAAGAGCTGGTGCATGCTGAATACAATAGTTTGGAGAGTGTAAAGGGCAATTCCCATCATCTAGAAAACAAGAATTCTGTTTTGCAAAACTGTTTAACGTTTCAACATTTGTTTCCATTCTGATACGGAATGAGAACTTCTACATTTTTTTCATGAAAGAAAAAAAAAAGACACACGCAGCCCACCATGCCAGAACAGAATAGCCAAAGGCCCAGTTGGTGCTGAATCAGAGAGAGCAGGGAATTGGACTTGGGTCTCCCACATCCCAGGTGAGTGCCCAGTGGGTGTCTCACACTCACTCTCAGACCTGAGAAATCTTCCCGACAAAGTTCAGTCAAAAATGAGGTTTCCATGAAAAGTTTTGGTTTTGATAAATGGACATTTTACTTATGAAAAATATTAGCTGAAGAACTACCAACCAACTCTAATGGTTATGTCCCATAAAATGTCTGACATTTCTGTGAAGATTAATTCAAAGTGATAAACGCACACTTTATATAGGCTTCTCAAGGACAGACACACACAGAAATTAAATAATTTTTTTTAACCTAAATTATCCAGTCCTAGACCCTAAAACGCTTCTAACTTGATCAGTGGGACAAGTCAGAACAGCAGTTTTGATTACCTGTAGGAGCATTGCTGAACTCTGGCCCATTCACTTAGCGACATTTAAAATGAGAGGGAAAAGAACATTCTAATGGATAAGAGCAAATGTAAATAAGGAATGCAATACAAAAAAAGATCAAACGTGCACATCGCCAACTAAGGTGGAAAAAACCCTAAGATGAGTATAATGCCACTGGGAAATTGCTAAAAATACGTTAGCTGTTAGGTGAATGCAATGCCCAGCATACCGGATTCCCTAATACAGACCTCAAAGTAGGTACTTTAAAACCAAAAAAGCAACATTACATCTGAGTCCTACATTAAGTAGCTGAGACATCTCTTCCAACCACACAGTTTGCTTAAATCTGCCACTATTAAATGAAAACCATGTCAGATATTCAACAGTTTAAATGAGACAAACAATTAATACCACCCTTGATGGTTTGATTCTTTTATTATGCTAAACCTGCAAAAAGGATTCCCTTATTTGCAAATTCAATCCAAGAAGTGAGGAAAAGGACAAACATTAGCAAAGTGTTCACTACTATTAAGGATTTTTCTCAGGTGGGCCCACCTGTTTTTTCCTTCTGTAAAATAAAGTGAAGAGTGAATAACATGATAAAGTGTTTTAATACGTTTCAGTGTCTCAGGATTGGCCTCTTAAAATCAAAGAGTGTTTGTGCATTTCAAAAGAACAGTGTAGAAGACTGCACACTGGTGAACAGAATAAAACATTAAATAAGGCTGGAAAATACCTTGCAATGATACAGAAATACCGTAGCATTTTCCCACTTAGCTTAAAAGGAATACTCAGTACACAGTCAGTGCATAGCATTAAAAAGGAGAAACTAGAAGTATATGTAAATGCAATTCATATGCACCACTTTATAGTGTACACCTATGAGAACTGAGAAAGTTTTATGACTCAGCATACAGCAGCTAAAGGGGTTCAGAGATTCCAGACCAAAATGGTAACCCAGTCATTCACATTCTGTATAGTCTAGAACAAAATGCAGCTAATCTTGCAGACTTTAAATATTTTACTATTCAGAACTAGGCAATATCAAAACCATCCGTCTTCCAGGAAAAAAGAAAGAAAGAAAGAAAAAGAAAGAAATAATACAAAACTGATTGAATGGCTTGTAAAAGCAACAGTATTTTACAGAACTATAACAAATGCAACATTAGGGTCTCCCCCAGACTGTTGGCATTCGGTTATTAGAGTAGATTTCTCTTGTATTGCAATGCAGACAGCCATTTTAACACACTAGAATAAGAGAGCCTCCAAGGAGGCTATAGGAACAAAACACGTATACTGAGAGAATCTGGATAGAGCCTCTCAGGAATTTCCCATATGTCCACAACTGCTTCTTTTACTTAAGCAAAGACTTAATGGTGACAAACTCACTTTTGAGTAGGTTTTTTTAAAGCAACCTGTGTCCAAGTAAAAAACCAAAACCCAACAACACTTAAGTAACACAAACAAAAATGATCACTGTAAAGGTAGCAGTTTTTATAAGAAATGCCAACCTTAAGCATTGAAATGTTTGAGGTCATGGTGGCCAGAGAGAAATGTCTTGCAAAATGCAAATCAATAAATCCTTTAACATGTTCATTGCTTTATAGTAATCACATGATCCCACCCCCCATTTGTGTTCTCAGCAAAAGTAGGAACAAAGTTCATGACTTTTCAGACAGGATGAATGAGGGAGGCTGAGCCCTGAACACGGTGATAAGAGCTCAGCTGCGTCAAGGTGGCACTTAGTGCTTCCAAAAATACAGCAATGATAGGCAGCTGTCACCTATTTTCTAATGTTATATCACTTACTCAGCAATATTTATAGTTTGTGATTTCTGCGTACAGACACGTACAGTGGCTTTACCAATCTGAAACCAGGCCTCCTAGTCAATGTACTACTGTACGACTTGGAGAACTCAAGAGCTGGGAATATTTATGCCCTGATTTTTGTTCTCTTTTTTGTAATAAAATAAGATACTATTACATCCAGTTCAAATACTGCCATCTAGAACATTTATACATAATATTAACATACAATTACGGATTAACTGGGAGATAGTTTAAGAACTCCATCAAAAGACATTTTCCGATGTCTTTGTCTAAAAACGGAATTGCTGGTGCTTCCAGTTTCCCACTGGAGACAGAGGATCGAGCCCTGAGCTGCAGGAGGCTTTGCTCTGTGCTGGAGTTTTGCTGTAACTGGGAATTGTAATGAATTTTGTACTGAAGAAGTCCCTGCTCTGTGGGTGGTGGTAGTGGGGTGAGTGTAAAAAAAAAACCCCCAAACCCTACAACAAAAGCTGATAAAATTGTGTAATTAGTCAAGTGTATATATTGCTAAACAGGCTATTAAACAAACTCAATTTAAGCCCAGTGGATTAACTCAATACAAACCACAAGTCTTGGTTAGTTTGCTGCACACTACATATGTAAGCAAAACATTATAAGCAATATGTGTAATTGAAGAAATTGATCTGAACACTGTTCACACAGGTAGGAAGCAAAAACTACATGCTGCGTCATGTTCCAGGCTGTTCCAAGGGAGGGAATGAGCAGTTTCTGGTTCAGTAGTTTCTTGAAAAAGCTGTTTGTGAAAAAGAAAAGAATAACCTAATAACCTGAATGCTCTGGCCGGTGCAAGAGTCACTGGAGTTTTCACTGCCTGCAGGCAAGAAGTCAGCTAGGATACCAGTGAGAAACCATAGCTAGTAATGGGACAATGTGGGGGTTCATCAGCAAAATGGACTCCAGCCAGTAGCACTTGTATGTGAATTCTAGAAAAGCAGTTGTGTTTCCTGTGTCTATAACTTTCCATATAAAGAAACATGTTTTGGTGCTGGCTCAAATAATAATAATATTAAAATAAAAAATCCACCTCCCAAAAGAAAGAAGATAGGGTGGGGCATTATTCAAAGGTTTCCCATTGCTTTCTGAGCTGTTCTACTTTACCTGGGGTGGCTGAAACCTCCTGTTTTGTCTTTTTTAACAAATCTTCAAATGGATCTTTTGTCTCCTCAGGCTTTGAGGGAAGTAACACTGACTCTAAGCCCTTCGTGGGCCTCGGGGGAATCAGAGGGGGGTCGTTACAACTTAGCGCCAACCCTGGCTTGACATCTATCTTGGAGCCAGAATGGCTCGCTGGTAATGTTCTGATTTTAGAAGGACCACTTAAACGTGCTGGCTGCAGAGAGCTGGCTGGGGAAGGGTTCCGGCTTTGCTGCAGTAAGGAACTAGCCTGTGGTGTTGTCGCAGCCTGGCCAAACAGACGGGGCATGGACAACGCTGAAATGTTTGGCTTAGGTCGCTGTGGTTGGTAAAAGCCAGAATTAGGTATCATAAAGCTGGAGCTATAAGTGTGACCTAAAGGAGGGGTAAAGGGTCCCCCTGGGGGTCTGACCAGCGATATCGTCAGGGCTGCTGGCACTGTCTGTGTAAATGGATTGAGGGATGGCTGCAGAAATGGCGGTGCTGAAGGAGGGTATCCCAGCGGCTGGGTGAATGGTGCCGGCGGAGGAGATGCAAAGTCGCCCACCACTGAAGCAAAGCCAGCAGCAGAGCTTGGAGAGGCTGAGCTCTGCATACTGCGAGAGTCTTGCTGGGGTCCCATGTTTTGCCAGCTGGTTGTTTTTAATGGATCCAGCAGACTAAGAAGATAGTCACTTTCACTACCGGCATTTTCCGTATTAACCTTGACTGGCTGAAGCATCGCAGTCGTTCTGCTAGAACTGGATAGAAGCTGAGAGGGGTGAGGGGAATAAGTTACTGACTGTCTGAATTCTGGGCCAAGGGACACAGTCCCGGCTCCAAAGGGCCCCTGCATGAGCTCTGAAACCAAGTCGCTATGTCCCATAGTGTAGGTGTTCACTGCATCTGCTGTCCCAGCTGGAATCTGGGGTTTGGTTGGTCTGGGCGCAGGTGGTGGTGGGACTATCCCTTGCTCAGGAGTTTTTCTGCCCTGTGGTCTAGGGATGGTGATGTTCCCTTGAACAGTCGTGTTCCCTTCCTCCTTTTCTGCAGGCACCAAGATGCTGTCTCTGCTCCGGGGTCTCCGTGGGATTGATGGGATGGTACCAAAAGAAGTCAGGGGCCTCTCTGGTGAGCTTTGGGAATATTTGGTAGGAATAGCCATGTCATCATGACCCATACTCCACAGCTTGTTGTAGGGATGAGAGAGTTTCATTGATGGCACAATCCTGCTTGTCTCAGATTCACCAAGATCCATCCTCTGCCAGAAAGTACAAGACAGATTAACATCTCCTGCTCAGCACAGACGTGAACAGCACAGCAATAGGGGGCAACACGGGGGCTGGAGAGAAGGATGCACACATGCTGCAAGCATTTGCAGGTGAGGGACAGAGAAAAGATTGTGGTTTAGGTGTGAGGACAGGAGACGGGAAGTCAGGCCTCTGGGTTTTAGTTCCAGCTCTGCCACGAATAGGTTGTGTGACATTGGGCATATCCCTGCACCTTCCGTTTCCCAAATGTAATCGGCACACAGTGAAATCTACTTACGGGGGAAGTGGAGAAGACCAGGCTCAAAAGCTTTAATTAACATACAGCAAATGCTCTGCAATACCTGGATATAAGCCATTAAGTATCATTATAGGAGTGATGCTACATGCCTTTGCTTGGTGTTGCACAAGATGTCAAAGGGTCTATGTTTTAGTTTTGCACTTGCTAAGAAGGCTATTCAGGAAACATGCTGCATAAACAATGATGAGACTTTACAAATTGATTCCCCCTTTTGACTCATGTGGGCCAAAATGCAGTCAACTCAGAAATGAAGGGACCGCGAAATCTCCTGTCCATCCCAGGTACTCATCTGGCCCCCATTGCTGTAATATCAGATTGCCTCAAAAGCTTTACTGTATTTATGGTCACAAATTCTTGTGGGACTATTATCCCCAATGTACAGATGGGGACCTGGGGCACAGAAAGGCAAAGTGACCAGGCTGTGGTGGAGCAGAGATTTGAACCAGGGTTTTCCAAGTCTTATGCTAGTGCCCTAACTACTGTACCATCATTTCGCTTCCTAAACTGCTTAGTATTTGCATTGCTGAGCACCAACCTCAAGGATATCAATGTACTACAGCTGGGGGACAAGGCAGATTCTGGGAAAAAAACCCTTGTAAATGGATCGGGATTTCTGCTTTGAAAATGAAGGTCTCGGTTCCTCCTTGCTTTTATGTTGCAACAAAAGACCACAGACATAATCTCTCATTCAGAAATAAATCTTCTGAACACACTGGGACAGGATGGGGGAAATGGATGCATTTACACTGAAATACAGAATTCTTTCTTACAGAAGGCTGGCTGATGGAGGGTACTTTAATTCTGCAGAAGCCCTTCCATTCTTTATCATTTACCTTGTATAAAATCATGCCCATACCTGATAATCAAAAGTACATTGCAGCACACCCTCCTCTTTGGGGGTCCTTAGGTCTTCCAAGCTTTTGGCTTGGCTGAGAGGTTGAGGCTGTTTTTCCACCTCTAAATTAGTGAAAATGTCCTCCAGGAGGTTAACTTCTGTGACCTTGTCTGGCATAGGAGGGTTTGGGGGCAGAGCCTCCTCTGCTTTTTCTGGGCTGAGAACCTCTTCCCCATCGGCACTATCAGACTCTTTCAGGGCCCGGTATGGCTGAGGCCTAAGAGACAAAAATGCTTTATCACCTCACATCTAGAATTATTTTATTTCAAATCCTTTTTGAAGCGTGCAACATTTCAAACTAGGAAGTGAATCCCCAAGAGTGATCTCAGCATGGATATACCTGTCATGTGACCCTTACGGTACCTCCTGTAGGGGCTGGCTTGAGCCCATTGCATTGGGTTGAATTCTGAACATTTTAGACTTATTTCCCTTTTGTTGCACTTTGAAACTAACATACACATGGGCCTAATTTAGGAGACATGAGGGTTTAAGGTGGCATGTTTTCAAAAGTAAGATTTTCTTCTAGGTATCATTACTACTTAGATTATCAATACTTTAAAACATCCGCATGCATTTACTTTCACTACAGATGATGTTGGTTGACTTTTTGCATTTCCGTTGTGATGATGAAAACAGTTTAAATCTGAATTGTGTTAACTGATCTTTCAATAAAACATTCAATAAACACATTTCTGTGAGCAGCAGCAAGAAAAGAATGGTTACTCCATTGCCTTCTCTTTTCTTGACAATCCTTCCAACACATCAAGAAAAGGTGGTCATGATAATTTAGCATCTTTATAAACCATGAAGTAGAACACAGGAATGAAGGGGATATAGAGAAGTTCAGTTTTAAAAGGACACTTACTGCCCCATTAAAAATTATTTTAATTTCCCTATCTTACAAATAGCTAATGAATTTTTAAAGTAAAAGTACACTTTTCACAATTTGTGCTGTTTACTTTTTACATTTCACTCAGCCAGGACAAATGAAATAGACAAGTCAGCATCACGTAATGGTTCTCAAAACTCTAGCACAATGCTGCAATGTTTGCAGGGGAACATTTGGTTGGTTTTTAAAAATCTTTTTCCACTGGAGTTTAGAAATATCACAGTCCAATTTCTTTACTTATAAGTTTATGAAAACTATATTTTTGGGGGGCAAATTACATTTGACAGTATCCCTTTAACAGAGGGAGTGTGGATATACAGTGAGCAGAGGTGGAAAGAAAAAAAAGACTTAAGACTGGAGGATTTTAAATGGAGGAAGATGGGTACTGAAAAGGAAGGGTTGAAAAGAAAGCAGCGATGATGCAGTTGAAAACTCACTGAGCAGAGCTGTATTTGAGCATGAATAATCGGACACTAGCTCTCCACTCTGACTGCCTCTGAGCCCGCCCACAAGTAGAATATTGTAACGAGACCCAGTTGTTTTATGCAGGAAGTTGGATATTCCCAACAAGAAAGTGAAGTTGCAAATACGCCTGTGTTTTGCACACAGTTACATTCTCTAAATTCCAGCTAACTCAGCACTGAATGTAAGTCATGGGGTTTTCTTGCAGTAATTGGGAGTACTGTGCATAGTTTCAATGATTATACTGGTGTCATCTTATCAAGAGACACTGCACTCCATGATGGGGAAATCTATTTTACATTTACAGCCAACCCCTGGGTTACTAGAATACACTGCTCACATGTACTTCAGAAAAACATTCCTTGAACACCATTAGATTTGCATATCAGTTCTGCGTATGGGAGAAAAGCAGCATAACGTGTATCCAATTAATAATGAGACCTGACATGATTTCTGTGGTGAATGGCATTTGATTAGCAGCCAGTCTCTCAGTGGCATTTAAACAAGGCTTTGGATTAAGAGAAAATATTTGAGAGTGTGGGGAATGTAATGTGGAAGAATCCTTCTCTTTCTTTCCATATATATATAAAATATAAAAAATATAAAAATATATAATGCAAATTTATGAGCAAAGTGTACCTTGCTTCATTCATCATTACACAAACACTGGCATTCAACAATCGGTACAGCCATGAAATGATGCACAAGACAGAGGCACCCAGTAGTGCATATCTCTAGCTAGTGACTTCTCCTACAGCATAAAACTATTTCATGAGGGGCGATATAGAATGAATTAATTCCACATCTTGTGAAATGCAAGTTCAGGTTTGCATGAAGAGGAGTTGGGGCAACCAGGTGGGATTTATGAGGGTGGAAATGCAGCATAGTGTCAGTTACGATGACTCAGGTCCTGATCCAAAATCCACTGAAGTCAAAAGAGAGAGATCCACTGACTTCTGTAGGCTTTGGATCAGGACCTTAGTGAAGGCATGTGAACGCATGATCTTTCAGATGTGATCAGAATTTCCATCTTTAATCTCACACACAACTTGCTCACAACTCCTTTACATCAGCTCTTATTGGAAAAATACTACAGGGTGAATTAAATATTTCTGGGGTCTTCCCCCTACGTAAGCACACAAGTGCAGGATCTTCCTTTCTGTCCTCCGATGGCCAACCCATGGTGGGTCTTAAGTGTCTTAGTGCCTTCTCTGTCATTATGGGGTAATCTTACCCACTATTAGAGGTCTCTGAACCCAAACTCCAATCCTCAAAGAGTCAGCTGCCCTGGCTGCCATTATGTTCCTCCCAACTCACTGCGGTGCTAGTTGGCCATCTGAGAGCAGGCTAAAATTCTCAGTCATATTCTTGTTATTCCGAGTTTTGAATATTTCCACACACGTAGCAACAGCTAGGGCTACAGGTCACAAATCAGATGACCTTTGAGAGCACATTGACTCCTGGACACCACCATGTTAGCCCCTTCCCACAGGCTAGTCGTACACAGCTGCAGTTAGTCACAGGCAGGCTTGGTTTGGAGAAGCACTCAGATCTGACTGCATGTCATTCTCAGTGGTGGAAACTACTTGAGACCAGGCGCTGTCTATATTTCAGGCACTTCCTGCTCTTGGAGCAGACATAAATAGTCCAAGAACAGGCTTCCTCCCAAAATTTCAACACCTCATCCTCAGGCTTTGGGCACAACCAGGAATTGCATGGAGTCGCAAGAATGAACAGTATTTTGTAGGAATTAACTTTTGGGGGGGGGGGGGGGGGGAGGGGGGACCTCAGGTTTGGTCTGACTGGCCCATTAGGATCAATCTCTTGGATCACGGCCTTACCGCTCGCTGCCCTCCCGAGAGGTATGTTCAGAGTGCCAATGACAACTAGAGGTGTGTATTACAAGTCAGTCTGCACTTCACCCCATGTGAACTTTTTTCTGCCTGATTATTCCAATTCTGAAGATGTGGGAATACTTTATATAGGTCTGTTTCATTCTGCTCTATGGACCAACTTCATGGAAACTGACAGACATGCCAATTTTCAAACGTGGGTGCTTTTGAAGGATTTCAAAATCCTATGGCTGATGACCTAATCAATATACAGGTGCCTCAAACAAGCATTTATAATCCAAAATGTTGATATGGGCCTCTAAGTTCAGGATTTAGACATCCTCTGCAGGAGTCTTTGTTTGAAAATTGGGCTCAAAAGTGTTAGAGAGGTTTAGGAATGAACTTAGCAGTTACTATTTACAGATAAATAAGTACACATATGGTATCTCTCTCTCACACACATACACTCACTCTAAGATTAAATAAAACTGCACACTGATTTATGAAACTCAAAGCATTGTAACTGTTACCATCATGAAGAATGATTTCTGGGACTGTATTTGAAAATGGAATTTATAAAGAGTAAAGTCAAAAGTTCTTGCCATGAAGTACTTTACATTAAGTTAATAAAATGGGAGTTCAATTAAGGGCACAGACAATAAGCAATATCAACTAACTACTTGTTTTATTTCCTGTGTAATTTTGGGTCACACTGCACACTGAGACGCCTTGGAAATCCTCTGGCTTTAGGAGGAACCTGAGGGTTACCCCTCCAGGAGCCACTGAGGACCTGGTATGGGATGGAAATAAGAGGGTGGAACTAGAGGAGGTTGACGACTGCACTGAAGCATAAGAAGCTCACAAGACAACTCACAACATACAAGTAGCCCTGGATGCAGAAGAATGGCAGAAGAGCAAAGGGTCTGAGCAGGAAAACAGGAGGGGAAAGCAATACACTGGAAAGAAAAGCTAAATGGAGGGTCACCTTCCACACAGCCCAAGTCACCAATAACACGATAAGTTGTGCACCCACATTGTGGGCAACAAATAGCACAGTGCTTCATGCAGAACACATGCTCTTGCATGCCTCAGAGAATCAGAACAGTCAAGCAGGAGAAATATTAATACAGTCATCAAGTGCTATAAAAAGATTTAAAAACTCTTAAAAATCCAAGCATAGAAGCAGGCAGCCTTGACTGGTGCAGATATCGCCGTTCAAAGCCTGAATTAATACAATGAAAGAATAAAGACTAGACCATTCAAAAGGAGCAGAGAAGAAAAAGTTTTCAGAGAAGGCAGAGACAGGATCCTCTTCCTGCTGAAATTCATCACCAGAAGAGTCCTCAGAGAGGAAGACTGTATAGTGTCGCATGGGCTTTACAAGGCTGAAGGAAACAGGAAGAGAAAAGGAAGTTATCAAGTTGTCACATTCAAAGTTGCAGAGAGGAGAGAAAACCAAGCAATTCAGGTTCTAAGTAATTTTTGAACTCAACTGACTGCTCCAGTGCCTGAATGCAAGATGACTCAATGGGGTAAGTGTGCAGCTTAACTTTGCAGGCTGAACATACTGTTTTTCTAGACCATCCAGTACTGCTGCCTCTTGGGAAAAGGTGCTGGGACCTGCAGACCCACCACCACTGTAAGTGGAGCCAGGATGGAAACCAGCCTTCCCACCACAATTTCCATCCAACAATCTGACCTCCTTCCAAATTATTCCTTTGAGTTGTTCTCAGCTTCATTGTACAATCTAATGACACACAGGTTGAGATATCAAGCAGGATAAGCAGAAGAGAACTGCTCAAGTGGGTAAAGAGGGACAAATATCCACAAAATGTTTGACAAACCTCCTTGTCCCAAAGCCACACAACTAATTGTACCAGGAAGTGCTGCACTACTTACCTACACCTTGCTCTCTCCAGAAATGCTGCCTGCTAATGTCTTAATATTGGTCTTAAAATTGCTCCGATTTGAGGTATTGTTGCTACCAGGTGCTGCTTTAGAAAAGGGGTGTATGTACTATACACATACTGTATAGTACGTGTCTACATGAAATATTACCCTCTTCCCCATTAGTTATATACTGTAATACATACACAGTCTTTCTGCTGGAGATGGTGGTTTAAAGTTTTTGCAAGTAAGATTTTACAGTGAGTCTTTTTATCTGTGAGACGTTGTTTAAACATTTATTTGTTATAAAAATATGTGTCTTGTCCAGCTGATCCTATGAGCTGTGCCTACATGTAAACATACATTATATCTATGTCTCTGTGTGTTTGTAGATAAGTAGATTGACGATAGGCATATAAACACACAAACTATATAATAAACAATACACAGATCAGAACTCCAGGTCTGATCTTTTGCCCACCCACTAAAGTCAATGACAAAGTTCCATAATGAAGAAAACACCATAATTCGGTGTGCATATGTACAGCTGGCTATCTGTATAGTAAGGAGAAGACATGGGGGGAAAGAGAAACATATAACTGAGAATGGGACATAGAACAGGTATTTCAGGGACGCTGATTTTGTGGATACTTTTCCATTAATAATTGTTGCTGTCAGTTGCTTTTTTTATTTTGTTTTGTTTAATCTTAAAGAAGCTAGATTATTCTTTTCACTGTAAAGCAGAAATGATTTACTGAATGTGCTCCAGGGCAAATGAAGTGGATACTACTGCTTTAAACATTCAGAGTGATCCTCAGTTGAAAAGTGGAGGAGATGGCAGAGTGCGCCCATGTTGGAAATATACTGGATACAAAGGAGAAAAGAGCAATGAAAAATTAGCAGCAACCAGGAGAGAGTGCATGTATGTAGTACAGCATAAATCTGTCATTCCTCTCTGGAAGGCTAAGCCACTTATTAAACATTAGCATGTAAGAACTCTTGGAAATATTTTTAGAGCATTTTAAAGAACTAATAAGTCCCAAATAGAAACTTAAAAAAAAAGATTCAATTTTAAACTATTAACCGTAGAGCTCTGCATTTTAATCTCATGAGCCTTATCGTACAGCAGTGTGTTTGGGCCCGCTTTTCATTCCCAGACGACTTAAACAATGAAAGGCGGGGAAGGGGAGGGAAGGGAAAATAAATCATAGAGGGTTATGAAAGCATGCGTCATTTTCAGCCATCCCCATGAGGTCTCTGCCCAACTACATTCATTTCATCTGCTGTACACAGCTGAGTAAGATCCCAGCTATCTCCATGAACAGCGATACACTATCAGAAGCACAAAGCCATAGCGAAAATCAAAAGACAAGGACCTGATCCTGCTACCACTGAAGTCAAAAGCAAAACTCCTACTACTTCAGTGGATGCAGAGTTGGGCACAGTATGTACAGTGAGGAGCAGGTTCTTATCTTGTAGATGATGGAACCACATTTGCACATTAAATTAGAGCAGTTTATGTTGCGGGCTAATATGCTGAAATCGGAAGAGGACCCAAATAAGGACGGGGGGGGGGGGGGGGGGGAAAGACTTGTTGGCCTTATGGCACAGGCATATTAAAGCCTGGTGGCTCTTGTGTTCGAGATCAGTCTTCAGTGTTTTCTTAGTTCTGTTGTCCTGACCACTATTGTGAAAGATGGGCTGAAAGAGCATGTCGAAAAGAGAAAGAGAGTTGGGAGCTGTGGGCAACAACTCAAGAGGGTGTGAGATGCCCACTGTGATTTTTGTGATAAACATTTACTCACAATTAGGCCAGAGTAACTGGGGCTGGGGTGTGCACAGCTGATCAGATTATACTGTAGTCTGTGTTACTCCAATTGGAATGGTCACATGAGCTGTTCCTCTCTCCTCATGCTGTAATGGACATTCCAGGGAAAGCAAAGTGCTGGCGCTGTAGCAAGCTACATTTGCTACAAAACGTTTGAAAAACTTCTCCAGGCACTAGTTTTACATATGCAAGAACATTTCAATGAAGGTTAGAAAAGGGGCTAACAAAGACTTTTATAGTCAAAAACATTTTAAAAAATGCTTCATCCTGTCTTGACTTATGTATAAACACTCCTTTTCTCTCTCATACATGGGAATTACCACTTGACAGTAGCCCAGCAAACCTACTAGAGTTTCACAGAAATCAGAAGAAACTTGGAATTTCCACAGATTTCTGCTGAGGAATTCAACCTTTTGGTTATGTGCAGTTAGAGTCTGGAGGTTGTGAATTTCAGATAAGTCAGTTCAGTTCCTTTCCAAAGTGTTACTAACGACCTCCTTTGTTTGGCTAGGGTCTGTTTAAATTCAAGTATTTTTTTTTAAAAATGTGGAATTAATTCACCATGAAGGAATATCTAATTTGAAAGAGGTAGTTCAAAAGACAGACTGGTGGATCAGCTAATAAATTGCATTTCAGTGGAGATCAATATAAATAAGATGGAAGCTATAATGCCAGTTAATAGGCACTTTTTTTTTTTTTTTTTTTTTTGCTTTAAGGCACCTTACATGACAAAGTGGGATTTCATAATAAAAACTTATTTAAATTCAGCTGCTGCTGTAGTTTCATAAAAGATTTTTGTCAAAGACAAGGGACAAACAATCTAAAATGTCCATGTTTAAATTTTTTATTAGCTTGAGGCAGTAGAATCAAAAAAAGAGTGCCTATTCCCTCATTAAACCAATTCAGCGACGATCCTGCAGTCTACCACCCACTACTTGCTAGGATTTCATACACAAAGAGCTGTCTCTGAAAAGGCAGGTCACAGCAAGCCCAGCTACAAGGCAGGCAATGCTGTAGTCTTAGAGGGAAAAAAGGATCCTGTCCGTCACAGCGACAACCCTCATCATCTCCACATGACTGCACCAGCTCCTGCCTACCTAATCTCTTAGCTGAGTTACCATGCAGATGACTTGCTGATCTCTTTCTAATGTTTAGTTTAACATGTCTTCAGTTAGCACTCGCATATGACAGTACTGACAGCTGTGGCTGTTCCTTTTAAAATATCATGTCAGAAACACAGTGCAATAAAGCCAGGGATGCGCTCCATGGCTCTGCGTACCATTATGATAGTATGGATTTATTTTTTAATGAGGAAGATCTGCATCTTGGGAGCTTTTTTCATGTGTCAGGATGCATGGACAAATCAGCAGCACATCACACCGGCCAAAAATGAAATGCTGACAAATGTAGATATTTCAAATTTAATTGACACCTAAATGTACTTAAGATAAAAATATAGAAAATCACTGAGCACTGGGGTTTGGGAATTAATGAAGGGAATTCTATAATAATTTAAAAGGTTATTTAATTTACAGGGAACTTTAATTTATATATATTAAAGTAGGTGCTTTGTTTCTTTCCCCTCTGATTATGCAGATCATGTTGTACAGGTGCAGCAGGGTGGACCCACTTGTATTGTTTTTCCCATGCACCGGGCATCCCAAATTTCACATATTTCTTGATTCCTGGAACAGCTGTGCAACTGCTCGAGGGAACTAAGGGTTTTGGTCCCTTTTAGGTGTAGTAAATATGAAGAGAATAAGGGGTTTGGATTTGTGGAGTGCTTGTTACCAATATGAAGTGGAGACCAGAGACTAGGGAAATCCCTATTTTGTCTCTCATTAAGAACAAAGCACAAATCCCGCACCTGTAATACTTTCCTGTAGAGTATGAAAAATCATTAGGCCCGGGTACGTACTATCAACAAAATTCCAGGATTTGCTTGTTTTTTTCTTTTGTATTAGCTTCTGCCATCTTGGCATGAGTTTATTGGTGGGAATGTTCCCAGGAGCATCGAATGTTAAGTGAATAGGCACATTTTTAATTGACAAACATTAGAATTCACCCTAGAAATCTGATTCTAAGAGTTACACTCATCCAATCAGGTAATGGAAACAATACCATGTGACCTGGACATCCAATGAGAGCTGACAAATTGAATTCTGTAAATTTTTAGTGAACTGCTCACACTTAATCTACAGAACAGGAAATATTAGAAGTCACCAAGTAATTTCTAATCGGGATAAGCTGAAGAAAGTCAGCACCTGCTCTAACAATTAACAGGAAAGAGTCTAATAAATTATTAGTTTAACATTATTTGCTTATCTCAAACAATACTAGCCCGCACAGAGCGCACTTCCACTGCAGAGATCAGATCTCTTTACAAAGGCAGGTTGTATGTTAGATGGAGGAACTGAGTCCCAGAATTTCAGTTACTTGCCCAGTGTCACAGAGGAAGCTGGTGGCAGATCCAGGAATTGGACCCAATCTGAATCCTAGACCATGTTGCCTCACTAACCAACAGAATGTAAGGGGATCTTTGGAAGACTATGCTTTCATGTTGGAGTTTTGGATGAGAAGGGCCCTTGGTTGCATCTACATCCTCCCATACTGCTATCAAACCCATATGGCCTACCTTCTCAGTGCCACCATTCCTCTCTGGCCTTCTAA